CTATAATCCTCTTTCAAATAAGAAAATTGTAATTTCACATTAGATAAGACAGTATTCTGGAATATTACTCCTGGAAAAGTATCTAGCTTGTATTTCCTACCTAGGGGATCCACAGTGATTTTGTTTTTGTCATAATCTATGTCTTTATGTCTGTAAGGGTATACCATATACAGGTCTCTGCTGAGTCTGTATGTTGTCAAAAAATGTTCCCAGAACTCCTCAACTTTTTTCTCTTACTACTCCCACAAAAATTTTGGAGTCTTATACTGAATTCCCTACCGGATATTGTCCCTGAATCTGAGCATCATGTAGAAATCTTGCTAGTGAATCTTGACTAACCTATTTATATTCATGTAAAGATGTATATTTATATGAATACATTTTATATAAATATAAATCCATAAAATATCTACATTATATGTTTAAGGTTGAGATAATATTTTTTTAAAAAATGACAGACTTCAGAGAATGATTTGCTGAATATGGGTTAAAAGACCCTCAGATAGAATAATGGACAATAATAACATAGGGAATATAGACAAAACATTTCTGAAAATAAAGAAAGCACAGAGAAATTAATACTAGGCATAATTAAGAAACAAAAGGGGAATTTATTTCATGATTAATGAATACGTTTAGTGATCTTATTTTATTCTACACAAGTTTTAGTCTGTACTTTCCCTTTTCAGGATCAGGAAAAACGTTTCAATAAGAGAATCAAGGAAATAAACATTGAACATCAGCAAGAAATACAGAATATCAAAAAGCAAGCTGATCAGTCATTTTGTTCCTTGATGTGAAAAGTCAATAAACACAGAGCCATTCTCCCTGCTGTCTCTACCCAGGGCATAAGTTTAGTGAGTAACTTCAGAAATTCCCACATTTGGAACTAAACTAAGGCCAAAATAATAAAGTTTGCAAAGCCTAAGCATGAAAGCAATGTGTTATTTTCTGAGGGCATATATTTCATACTTAATTCATATTATTCATGATTAATATAATGTTTAGCTGGATGTTACTAGAATAAATGTACATTTACAATAGGAGTTTTGAATTATATGTTGAGATGCATTTATAACTGTCCAAACTGAAAGGGATATATCAGGCAGGTTCTGTTCACTATAAACTTTTCAGACTCATCCAGACTGCTCTTCCATATTTCCTCAGATGCATGTTTTTACTCAAGGGTTTACTTTTCTTCTTCCATTGAGTTGGAGTGTTAAATACACTAAAAACCTACAATTTAACTCCATTCTAATATCTGCATTTCTGCTATGACATCACTGCATGAAAGACACTGAGAGCAAAATGCTTAGCTAGAAAGGACAAGAAAATAGAAGGATAAAAATCAAGAATAACTCAATAATATATACATTGGAACCTACCAGAAACATTTTAGAATGTGTATCCAACATCATGCATTAATGTAATCAACAGAATCCACTCAGATTCTAAGTCAAAATTAATTTTACATTTATTTCTATTTGGTAGAATAGATTATCCAGGATCCAACTCCAGACTCTATGGCTATTCATCCAAGGACAATAGCACACATACAGGTCCAGCATCTCAGGTGAAAATTTCACAGCTACTTCCACTTGAAACCAAAGTCTCTGAATCAAATGCCAGAAAATCCACCAATCTCCACTCTGTCGACCAAAATCTCTCTATCTGTGTATTTAAAATACACAAATTCCCCCATGATTAGTAGCATCACATCTGATCACATCTGCTTCTAAGTCTGACAGAGATTCATCTTCTTGACAAGATCTAAACGCCTTTGTGACAGTCTGGGAATGAAGGTGTCTGTCTTCTATATTGGAAGTAGAACTTCATACATTGGAAAATGTCTGTCCATGTTAAAGTCATCCAATCCAGTCAGGTGGGTCACTGGCGCGGGCTGGCCACATTATGGTGGGAGCTAACTAAGACTCTCATTACTATTTTCATGCACATCAAATACACTATTTCTAATGTTTATCTTTGCTGTGGTCTCTTAATATTCCTTATATTTTTTCCTTCACTGATTTCAAGTTGTACACTTTATTAATTTGCTTAAAGTTATGCTTTACTTTCAAGCATCATACTTTAGAAAGTCTTAAAAGGACTATAGAGAAGTAACTTTAACAAAAATGGGAAAGAAAGAGTCTTAGTGGACTTTCCCTACCTAAAAATGAAAATGTGGTCAAAACTATTAAAACCAAATTTATGAGAACTCTGAAAAATATTCAAGGCCAAATGTAGAAAAGTTAAATTGAATCTTTATCTCTCACCAAATAAAATATTTTTCAGTCATATGTGGGAGCTACATATTAAAACAATGGATCTCATGGAGACACAGAGTAGAATGATGGTTACCAGAGGCTGGGAAGGAGAGCAGGGATGGGGAAAAAATGGGGACGGTTAATGCGTGCAAAAATGTAGTTAGATAGAATGAAAAATATTCGTTATCAAAACAAAATGACTATAGTCAACAATAAGTTATGGTATACTATAAAATAACTAAATGTGTAGAATTGGAATGTTCCTAACACAAAGAAATGATAAATGCTTCAGGTAATAGATACCCTAATTACCCTGATTTGGTTATTACACATGGTTTGCCTGTACAAAAGATCACATGTACCCTATAAATATAGAAAGTTATTATATTCACATAGTAATGAAAAATTATAAGTGGTTAAAAGATAATAAAATGTTTACCATGAACCAGGCTCCAAAGACAGATGATACAGATGTAAATGAAAGATTTATTTTCCTGTCCTAAATATGCCAGGGCTAAAATGAATACAAGCATTCAAGAAATACAGCTTCCTAATGTTAAATAGAGATTCCCAACCCTTGATGTGCATACATATCACCTAAGCATCTGGCCAAAGGTAAGGTTCTGTTGCAGTAGTTCTGAGGAAGGGCTTGGGAATCTGCATTAGTATCAGGCTTCCATGTAATGCTAATAGCATTGAGGAGGCAAATAACTGTTAATAGACATTCTCAGAATTACACAACATAAAAATATTTTCGGCCGGGCGCGGTGTCTCACGCCTGTAATCCTAGCACTCTGGGAGGCCGAGGCGGGAGGATCGCTCAAGGTCAGGAGTTTGAAACCAGCCTGAGCGAGACCCCGTCTCTACCATAAAAATAGAAAGAAATTAATTGGCCAACAAATATATACAATATAAAAATCAGCTGGGCATGGTGGCTCGTGCCTGTAGTCCCAGCTACTCAGGAGGCTGAGGCAGGAGGATCGCTTGAGCCCAGGAGTTTGAGGTTGCTGTGAGCTAGGCTGACGCCACGGCACTCACTCTAGCCTAGGCAAGAAAGCAAGACTCTGTCTCAAAAAAAAAAAAAAATTTTCTTTCCCTAATTGTAGTGACTATCATCCTTCGTTCAGTATTGGTAGATCTGGAGGACCTGGTGCTGACCTATATTAATGGCATTAGCACTGGAGATCTGTCCTGCTTGAAGAATGTAGTCCTGGCCTTGGCCTGGATGGAGAATTTAGAGATAATTCAAAAGGCTATTATCTACCATGAAGAGCCAGAAGGTGCAGCTTATCTCAGAAATCTCGTTGGAGCTGCCAGACCTACACAGACCCAGGGAGAGAGAGGCCATCCAAGTCTGCCTTAGGAGTCCTTCAAAGATGTAGATCATTAGGACACTGACTTGCAATTAACAATAAATAAATGAATGAATAAAATGTAGATCATTTATTTCAAAAGGATTACTGGTAATATTTAACTGAAGTTTACATGAGATTGGATGTCATTATGTCTTTAATGTGGCCCAGTCATGAAGAAAAGCCACAGTTGAGGAGGACCAGCCCTCGTAAATGGATTAATTTCATTATGGTAGGATTTGGTTACTGATAAAAAGATGAGTTCAGTCGGCTTATTGCATTCCACTATGGGCTGATGCGGAAAGCCCTTACTATGTATACATCCCTTGACCTTGGACTTAGCAGCCTCCAGACTGTAAGAAATAACCTCTCCTTTTAAAAATTGCCCAGTCTCAGTTATTCTGGTATGGCAGGAAAAAAAAAAGACTAAGACAGATAGCAAAGTACTTTTAGGAAATGAAATGAGTATTTCTTTGGAAAGAAACAATTCTTGCTAGATTTTGAATTTGTGACTTTCTATTTGTAATCAGAATAATCAGAATAAAAGTTGTATTACACAGATTCAAGGTTTTGAAACACGTTTTAATTCATGAATTAATACTATTGCCTTTATTTAAAGAAATATATGTGGCAAATAAAGCTGACACTTTGATTACATACCTACTGTTATCAGACTGATTTGCTATCATGCCAAACAAAAGCAAAGGAATTTGTAGTTTTAGTTCTCGGCAGCAGGGCTACGTTATTCTACATCTATTCCATTCATAGCAATCTTTAGTTTGATTATTTTGAAAAGGAGAAATTTACAAGTGTGGCATAAAGCTAGGAATCTATGCTGTGAACATCATCTCCAAGGAGAAAACGACTTTAGAAGGTAGTTTGAGTTAAGAGAAAGAATACAGTTTTGTTGAGTTGTCCATAAGTTTTTGAGTACATAGAGTTTTCAAGAAGCATTTTCAGAATGCTCATCACAGCATCAAAAGAATCTAGAAGGGTGCCAGACACATATCAAACTCTCTACCCGATACATAATTATTACAAATGAATAAACATCATGTTTTTGAAACAGGGTCTCACTCTGTCACCCAGGATAGATTGTAGTGGCATCATCATAGCTCCTTGCAATCTCAACTCATGGGCTCAACTGATCCTCAGGCTTCAGCTTCCTGAATAGCTGAGACTATAGGCCAGTGTAGCATGCCTGGATGACTGTATTTTTTGTAGAGATGTGGTCTTGCTCTTGCTCAGGCT